ATGTAATCTCTGCCTATCACTCCTTTTTTAAAAATAAATTATGAACTCTTGGAAGTTTGCCTAGTATCTATGTAGTTCTCTTTATACAGAGATGAAGGCTTTCCCAGGATTACCTATAATTGGGTGTTTAATAAATGCTTCTTGATGAGGTAATGGTATGGAAATAGAACTCTCAAGGTCCAGAATCTGCCTGAATTTCTTGCCTCATTAGGAAGAAAAGGTGAGTGTGAATGCTTGGGTAAATGTAAATGTACAGTATATCTCACTCGGGAAGCTACACAAGCCTTAGCTCGGGATGTTGGGAACATAGAAACTTGAAGGATGTAACTAAGACAGAAAGTTTGTTGATTGACACTCACACCAGTGTTTACCAATCTTCCCTAACAAGGCAGACTTCATTTGGAATCCAGTGATGCACCTTATAGGCCTTAAAATGCTCCACAAATCACACCAAGTTTTACTGGAAGTCCCTGCCATTATGGTATGTGGTGGCCACACACCAGTGCTCTCCAAAGGTGAAGGCGGAGGTTAATGGTTTTCTTTATATTTGCATGATTACTTGATCTCCGGCTTTTGTGTCAGATGAGTTTTATAAGCTTTTCCCATCTTGCTCCCTGAAGTGTTCTCAGGTGGTATATTTAAGAGCTATTTTACAGCCGCCTTCTTTTTTTACATGTTTTGTAGGCTAGAAAATTAAGAGAATCTGAGCATTTGATACTACCTTGCTCACTCAAGTAAACATTAAGTCTTTGTTGAGCCCTCTAAAAGCCTATTTCCTTTTTTATTGAAAATGTTAAAAATGTGGCCATTTCTAACCCACTGCCTTAAATATAGCAAAAGGCCCCTTGAAGTTTCCTTTCACCACCGCAGTGAATTCCTAAACCAACAGATCTTGAGCTTGCACAGAAGTGTGAAAGTACTTAATGTCACTGATGTGTACACTTAAGATGGTAAACTTTATGTTCTGTATATTTACTGTAGTAACAATTATTTTAAGCATCAACCACAAGGCTGATGAATCTCAGAGGGTGGGCAGTGCTGGGTGCTGTCCTGGAAGTGTGTGGGAAGAGGGTATCGCTCAGTGTAGTGGGGCAACTAGGCACAGGGTGGGCAGGGGAGCCAGGGGGCCAGGAGGCTGGCAGAAAACAAGCCCACAAACCTCAGCAAATCTTTAATGCTTTCTTTGGACTCTCAAGTTCTCTGGTGGTCACAGCTCTTCTGTAATCACTCGTTGTAGTAGCGGGAAGGCCACAGTGCAGGATATCTCTGACCCTATGCACATGGGTAAAGGAGGGTCCTGGAGCCCTTGGTGGCTTTTTCAAAACTTTATTGAGTTTACCTGGGGGGCTGGGAGGCTGGCAAGCCTCCTAGCCCCCGGTGAATCTTCACTCTTTCTGGGCTCTCTGGCGTACTCTCTTCTGCTTCTCTTTCATTCTTCTCTCTTCTGCTGCTGGTTCTGTTCTCTGGCATCCGGTGATGCTGCCCTTACAAGCCCAGTCTCTCAGCCCAGATGTACCCACCTACGTATGCCCACACCCCACTCCAGGTGCCCGCCATCAGGCATGCATTCAGGACCTCGGGGATCCATCTTCAATCCTAATGGCAGGAGGGCAGAAAAGCCTGATAATCACTTACCCTACATTCGTCCTGTTTAAGCCATCCTCTCCTTGCCCTCATTTCTGAGTGACGCCGTCCTTATACGCTGGCCTGTAGGCTCAGGTGTGCACACTTAGGCATGCCCCCACCTATACTCCAGGTGTGCACATTCAGGCATGTGTGCCCACAAAACCTAGACTTTCTGCATTAACATGATGAAGGCCACAGGTGATAGCCACAGAGGGTAGTGGTGCAAAAGGCCCAATTAATCCATTTACCCTCACTGAGTACTTGAGTGCAGGGAAGATTGTATCATTTTATTTGCCTAAAATCAAATTAAATTTGGTCCTGAGCTCTCCTCTATTGGGAAAGGCAAGAAAATCAATTGCATTATAATACGGAACATGTTCTTAGGGTTCTCCGAAACTTGCGGTGGGGCTTCTATGATATCAGGGAAACACAGTGGAGGGTTGCGTCCTCTTCAGGGGGCCATTTGTAGTAATTTCTGTTTACCACATGATGCATTTCCAGGTTGGTCCTTCAGTGTGTCTGGCCCAGAGCCCGGCTGGTTGCAAAGAAGTTCCTCACAATGGCCCTCTCTGCTGACTATAGCCTGGGCCAGAGACACGCCACCTGTTCTTTAGGCTGCAGTGTGGATACTGTGCTAGCAGCATAGGAGCCGCTGCAGGCTCTTCCACCTTGGGCGTTGTTTCAAAGGGGACACAGATCTCTGGACCTCACACTAACTCACCAATTCCTCATCCCTTTTCTTTCTTTTTTTTTTTTTTTTAAGATTTATTTATGTATGCATGCAAGAGCTGGGATGTAGGCCAGACGTGTGGAAGATGAGAGGATTCACCAGAGACAGATTGGGGAGCAAAACAGGCAGATCGACTGAAATCCATTGCTGAGGGGAGCAGTAGGTGAGACAGGAGAGGTCTGCTGCACCATGTGATCCCCTGGCCAGGGATCAAACTCATGCTGCAGTGGCTGCAGATAGCTTCATAGGGCTGAGACTCAACCCCTTGCACCATTAGGATGGTCCCTCCTCATCCCTTTCCTAAACTCAGAAATGCTCATCTCCAATTTGGCTCTTCTGTTCCTTAAACCCCAACACTCAATCAGTACAGGCTCCCAAACAAACTTTAATATGAAGGAAGCTGAATTCTGGGTGCCTGGTCATTTTGACTCTTCTGCCCTTAAATACACACACAAGTTGTCAAAAGTAAAGGATCTGAAGCTCAGAATAGGGTGGCCTAGCATCTTTCTTATGGGGAAAGGTAAAAATGTTTTCACATGTTCTGAATATCCAAGGTAACTAGAACAAGAAATAAATATTGGAATAGTTCTGTTTTGTTTTTGCTATGTAAGTATTAGTGTTAGTAACAATAATTGCAAGTGTTGCTTTAGAGACAGAGCATTTGGGTTTGGACCTTGGTTTTGCCACTTATTGGCTATGTGACCTTGAGCAAGTTATTTTCATCAAGCTAATTTAAGGCAAGATTCCCATGCCTCAATTTCCCCATCTATAAAATGAAATAACAAGAGTGTCTTTATCATGACTAATTGTGAGAAACAAATGTATTAATGTGAAATAAATGAAACAGTAGTTCTGGCATGTAAAAACTGCTCCATGCAAGGAATACTATGATAATAATAATTATCATTACTTAACATCACCAAGATTGGCAATTCAGAATTTTAATTCTCTAGAAATCTATGCTTAGCTCTAATTTCAAGGAGTCCAGGGAGGCAGAGAAATACTGTTTGGTATTGTTTCTGAGATGCTTCCAGAGAGTGTTTCTTAAGGAGTCCCTCTTGGGACATTGAACATGTCCTCAACTCTCAAAGGAGTGCTCTAAATTTTACCATTTTATGAAATTCATATCCTTTTGCTTTCAGAATTTTGGCTGACCACAGAAAGAAAATTACTCAAGTGTGAATAATAATCCAACAATTTTGAAACTGAAACAAGACTTCTGATGGAGCCAAACTCTATTTCTTATTAACTCTGGATAATTTGCTTTTTTAAAATTTGATCCCTGGCCTTTGAATGAGTGTCAATTCCACTTCTTTCTAGTGCTTACTAACTTAATTTCAGGCAAAGTTCCTTGAGATTCTGATCTAGGAGAGACTTCTACAGACCAAGTATTATAAGTACCAGTGTCCTATTGTCAACATTGATTTCTTAATTGATAATAACTGACTTAACAGCTGATAACCGCCAAATCTTTGCCTCTCCCTACAGTTATGAGTGGTTGGTGGCTTTTGAGCAAATTTTATTTCGTGCATGGCTTAGGCTATTATAAACTGTAGAAGTCTTCTTTCTGGCTTGAATAGATCAGTAAAGAATGCCTATGACTCATCACTCCCTCCACACTGCCACATCTTCTCATCCTCCATGTCTCCTACTCTCATGTCCCTGAGAAGAGGTTTATTTAACTACAAAGCCAATTGTCATTCATGCTGTTCCCAGGATTCAACCTAGGGATATATTGGGCATGCTTTAAGTCATGGGGTCATAGCCTCTGTGTTATGATTCAGGGATATGTCTTGATCAGTTTCCTCATCTGTCATCTCTCAGAAAGCATGTAAAAAATAAATCACAAGTATCTGCTTGTATCGGCTAATTGATGCCAGCTTATTAGCTTATGAACCTTAAAATCTCGGTAGCTTAACAAAACAGATGTTAATTTCCCACTTATATGTAAAGCCTGGCTAGGGGTGGAGCAAAGCTCTGCTCTACAAAGTCTTTAGGGGAACCAAGCTGATGGGGGCTTAGCCAGATTCAACAAGTAGCCTCCAAGGTAGGTATCAGTATACATATATTCATAAATGGAGAAAGATATTTTAGTAGATATTTTTCTGTACGTAAAGATGTCCCAAGAAGATGGACCTTCATATGGGAGTGGTTGACTATAGTGGAAAAAGAGGTAAAAAGGTGGGCCTCCCTGGTGGCACAAGGGGTTAAGACGTAGCATATAAAGCTAACCATCAACCACTACAGCATGAGTTCGGTCCCCAGCCAGGGAACTATCCACAAGGCGCAGCAGACCTCTCCTGACTTGCCTGCTACTCCCCTCAGCAGTGCATTTCAGTAGATCCTCCTGTTCTGCTCCCCTCACACCCTGCACCTCTGGCCTACACCCCAGTTTTTCTATGCATAATAAATAAATCTTTAAAAAAAAAAGATTTGGGGGGTGTGCTCACTAGCAAAGCTAACTGATATATAAGGGATTGCACTTGGGAGGTTTATATGGGCCAGATCTGGAATTGGCAGCTATCCTTTCACTAAACCTGCCAGAGGGATTCACCTAACTGGTAGAGACCCTGGAAAACATAAGCAAGCCAGGAAGAAAGGGAACAAGGCTTAAAAAAAAATAGCTGACCATATCAGCCATTGCTGATTTACCTTTACTTGTGAAAAGAAGCCTTACGTAGTAATCAGAGTAGAACAACTTACCAGGCAAGTTCCTTGAGCCAGGTCACTACAGTTACTTTTAGTTTATCTATTTGGCACGGGGAGATGGGGCAAAGGAAATGAGACAGATATGCTGTCTTCTTGGGAGGCAGTCTGATAAATTCCTGCCAAGGTTCTCCTGCAACCCTGAAATATATAAAAGGAGGCAAAAACCACGAGGTAAGAAAGGTTTTCAGCCTACTTGATCTCTGAGGATAAGAGATTTTAACTTCATAGAGAGAAGGAAACCTGGGCATCCTTCTGTAAGTGTTTTTGATACGTTGTTGCCTTCTGCCCTATAAGGTCTAAAGCAATCCTGCCCCCCAAGATCAGAGAAATAAGGGCAAGCCAGCCCAATTCTGTTGGCTTCATCTCAAACATTTGTCCTTTCATCTCCTTTTTACTTTTGCATGTCTGTATCAAGGAAGAATAAACTCAGACTATGAATCTGCTAAGGAAGGCAGCCTGGCAGTGCAGAAAGTGCCTTGCTTGGAATTACACTGTCCAGATTCCAGTTCTGCCTCTGTCATATTAATTAGCTCTGTGTGATATTGTATAACTTCTCAAAGCCTTAATTGTCAGTATTAAAATGATATTTATAAGGAGTATGGCACATAGTTGGTACTTATTAAATGTAAGTTGTTTATTATTATTATTATCATTATTATTATCATATGATTTTCCGTTCTTTCTTCCCTTTGATTGTAATCACTAGTCTAAACAGGAGAAAGGGCACAGATGGGGAGAGAGGACCTAGCAGATGAAGGGTAGGTGAGGAAGAAGAAGAGAGTGAAAAATTGTACTATTGCCCAAGCAAATCTTACCCATACTTGCTTGGTAAATTATAGTTATCAAAGGACTTTATCTGGACAATCTCGTTTAGTATGACAGTGTGATGTGACTCATGAAACATGAAATATACTTGAATAGATAAAAAGTAAACTCGTGGGTTAAGAAATAACAGTTACTGAGATTACATTAACTTATTAAAATCACTATCCAATGTGCAAAAAAAAAAAAAAAATCAACGTACTTAAAGGTTAAAGGTTAAAAGTCCCCATAATCCATTTAGTCCTTCCCCTTGACATGCGGAAGTGTTCCCAGCCCTACCGCCACTGGGTTCCTGATCTTTCCCCCTATCTCGTCATACCTAGTCTACTTCCATAAACCTGGCTTCTATGGAGCGGCTGACTAGTCTTTCTTGAGGGCTGTTCTCTTCTGAGCTAGTCCTTCAATCTGTGCCAACTCCTTGCTCACATTTAGGAAGAGGCAACTTATCTGCATCCTTGCTCTAAGTAAGCATGCCTCAGCATTACACCCGAGTGTCTGTTGCCATCCCTAATATTTTTTGATTTGCAGAGATTGCTTGAAAACTGAGGGCCCAGGGTTACTAAGAATTCAGGGTCCTTTTAGTAAACAGTTACAAAGGCAGTAATGGCAGACATGGCAAGGGTAGTATTTCATTTACTAATAATTCAATTACAAATTATGGCCATAGGAGACTAGAGAAAGGAAAAATTGCTTTTGGGTTACTTTCATGGAAAATGTGAGACTTGATCTGGAATATATTGAATAACATGTCATAACCAAAAGAGTAGTGGTATAAATGCTTTAACAGTTTGGGGTGGAACAAACTAGTTAGGTGGATACTTCAGGAAAATGGGTCCTTTGCTCTAGGGAAAAAAAAAAAATTATAGGGAGTTGGAGTTTGCCTGGAATCGTTTCTAGTTCATTCATACAACAAATGTTTAGTGAGCACCTACTAAGCTCCAAGTACTGTTCTAGATCTCAGAGATTCAGCAATGAACAGAACAGGAAAGATTCTTTTCTTCATTCTAAATATATCATAAGTGTGGAGGGAAACAATTAAAAATAAGATGTGTATGGCAATATCAGATAGTCATAGGGTTATGGAAAATTAAAGGAAGAAATTGTGACAGAGCCTGATTGAAAGGGTTAAACACTGTTTTGGAGAGGAAAGTCAGAGATAGTCACTTGGAGTAAGTGATATTTTCAACTGAGATTTGAATGAGGAGTGGGCAATAGGTACCCCTGGCAGAAGGAACAGGTGGCGTGAAGGCTGTAGATGGATTTGATAGAGTCAAGGAAAAGCACACAGGTCAGCGAGGCTGGAGACTAAGAAATGGGACTGGAGACATCTTACTCTGTAGGCTACGTGGAAAATATAGTTGGGTCTGGTCCTATTAGCAATCCACTGAATCAGAATCTCTGAGGTGGCATCCAGGCCATAGTACTTACTAACATCGCTTCAGGTGATTCCAATAGCAGCAATGGTTGAGCAGCATTGCACTAGAGGGAAGAGCTGAAAAGAGGTCTTTCTTTGAGCAGGCAGAAAATACTGCAGAATATGATGGAGAAGGAACAATATGATGAGTGCAGTCCTGCAGACATGTGCTGGGACTCACGGGGCCGTTTTCCCTGACCTGGTGGTAATGGAGTCGAGTGGCCTGCTCTAAGAGCAAGACTCCTCTGCTCTTTTGTTCATCTCATTTGACAGTTTGCTGAATTTGCTTGTGCCAACTATGGCAGGAGTCAAATGGTTAAGGTTTGGCTTATTTATTTTCTACAGATCACAGAGATCTGACCCTCGGAACTAGGGAATAAAACAGATGGTCCTGAGCTGGAAAGTTTCCCTTCCTGTCGGAGAAAGAGCCTGGTGGAAAAAAATAGTTTAAATAGGGTCTCCCTGGTGCTGCAAGGGTTTAAGACACAATGATAGGAAGCTATCTGCAGCCTCTGCAACACAAGTTCGATCCCCGGGCAGGGAGCTACCCACATGGCACAGCAGACCACTCCTGCCTCGCCTGCTGCTCCCCTCAGCAGTGTATTTCAGTCAGTCTGCCTGTTCTGCTCCCCACTCTGTCTCTGGAGAATCCTCTCACCCCCCACACCTCTGGCCTATACCCCAGTTCTTGTATGTATGAATAAATAAATCTTTAAAAAATTATGTGTAAAATAACTGAACTGGAAATTAGGAGACACATATGCTAGACTATGTTACATATAAGTAATTGGTATTCTCTAGGCCTCAGTCTGAAAAATAAGAGTGGCGGGCTTGGTAATGGCTAATCCATCTTTTTTTTAAAATACTATTATTCTATACAGTGCATGTAAGCTCACCATGTGGGCTATGTGGTACAAGCTGAAGGCAGCATTTGAGGAAATGTTTTACTTTCCCATGTCCAGCTTTGGTTGATTTGAGCATAGTTCCAGTTTTATTTCTCATGGGATAAATGAAAATCGCCACTGTAAAAATGTTCATATCAGTGTGTGTTTCTTGGGGTGTGGCTAATGGCTTCATGGACAGAAAATGAAAAGGGTTATTAGGCTATTTTATGTGTTGATTTAAGGGATCCTGGGTTTTAGTGGTAGAGGCCAGGTTCCACTAGGACATCACATGCATAAGTCTGCCTTTGCCTAGTACATACGGGTGACTAGGATTTGGTAGGAGGTTGCTGCCTGCTGAGCTACCCACACTGTTGTCAGAGCACAGGATTACATACCAGAAAAGGGCTTTTAAGCAGACCTATTTTCCCTGTCATCATTTTGTACCAGAAACAGACTCCCTATGCTTATTATCAAAAAGCTTATATGTTATCTCCAATTTACGTTTTATTCACCTTTCTCTTCATTGCGTTAGTCAAGTTCAGAAACTAGACTGTCAGCTGCCAGACAGGCTGCTCTTTCTCTTTAGAGATAGGTGAAACCCATTTAGTAATTCATTATCAAAACTTACAGCTCTACAAGGTGTTTTGGCCTTCAATTCAATTATTCCCCAAAAGCAAGCAATAAAGAAAAGCAAGGTGCCTGGGACAATTAGATGGGTTATTCAGTTGTCAAAAACCAAATTTTCACCTCTGCAAATGTAAGTTCATAGACTGTTCTTAAGCCATCCAGGGAAACACGAGATGTTTACTGTCAGTTTAGACTGTCAGAAAAGCTTGTCCCAAATCTGTGAAGTTGTCATTCCTCATGTGTTCTGACTGCAGAAGCCAGAGATCCAACTTCCTGTGCTTAAACTTTCTTTTTTTTTTTTTTTTTTTTTTTTTATAGAGGCATGCTTTATTTATTTGTTTGCTGGTTTGTTTGTTTGTTTTGTTTATACATGCACTGGGTACAGTCAGAAGCGCGGGAGGGCGAGAGAATTCACCAGAGCCAGAGCGGGGAGCAGAGCAGGCAGAAGGACCGAAGTACACTGCTGAGGGGAGCAGCGGGCGGCAGGAGAGGTCTGCGCGCCATGTGGGACCCTCCTCCGGTGGCCGGGGAGCAGCCGGGGATCGAACCGGCGTCGTAGAGGCCGCGCGCAGCTTCGCAACCCAGCGCTCAACCGCTGCGCCACCGGGGAGGCCCTGTGCTTAAACTTTCTGACTAGACAAATGGAACCTTTGGGGTAGTATGTTTGTCTTAGATGAATATCTGAGCTGGGGTTGAAAGTAGAGTAACTGGCATTGGTTAAGTTATTAGAAACAAAGTAGAAATACATATGGCTCAGCAGTATATGGGAAAAAATCTGAAGCCAGGAGCCTGCTCCTGAGGTCTTTACAACCTGTTTGGGGAGTGAAGGCTTCTATACCTGGAACCTTATCATTAGAAATTCTTTGCAGCTTTAAAGGTCCTTTAATCTAGTATACTAGTTGCCCAAAAGTGATGCCCACAGAGGATTATGAAGGAGGTCAGGAAAGAGATTGGGTTTCAGAGTAAATGGTAGCTAAGGTGGAGTTTCACCTCCTAAAATAGTCTCCATGTTCAACAACACTTTATTACTTAAATTCTTCTCTCAATGGCACTTTCTACCTTGGAGTTCAAGAAACTAGAGTTGGTTAGGGAGTATGCTTTGTTTGACTTCCGCTTCATGAGAGAAATAAAAGAAAAAAAAAGTGAGGGCCCCCAAAACAAGGGTGGCTTGAGAACCATTGGTGAGTCTCTGAGAAAAGTTAACCCCAAGGTGAGGTCCAGCAGAAATAGAACTGGGTTTGATTGAGGCTATACCTGGGAGAGCCATGGTAGCTTTTACCTGGCATGTATCCTTGAGGGATATGGGAACAAGCTTGACTAGAGGCCAAATTTCAACCAAAAGCCAAACTTCTTGAATTAAGATCCAAGTCTCTTCTCCTGCTATCAAGTGGTGGGGTCCTAGTCCCTGCCCTGATTGGGTCACAGAAGGACACATCCTTAGGTATGTGGGGGCGATTCTTGAGTTTTCCTATATTAAATCACACCTCTGAAAATAATCCATTCTGGAGGTATTGTGGGAGATAATACAGGCCCATGATGGGTTGTCCCATTGGATCACTTTTCTCTCTGTGATGTCATCTGCTCCACCAGGATCTTCATCATGGAACTGACATTCAGTCTTCTCAGAGGAGTCACACTGTCAGCTTCCCTGTAGCCTGCACAAAATAGGCTCCAGGACAAAATATACGTTACATCTCAGGTAGTAATTCGATAACTTACCATGTCTATAGGTCAGAGTAGACAAAGAATTAAGTTTTGATTATGTAAAAACTTTACAAATGATGGAAATGTATAGTAGCAAAGGATCTAAGAGGATGCAGTTGTTTTGGAGCCATTTATGACATAATCCTGTGTAAAGAGCAAACTGAGGGGTCTCTTCTGCCCATTACTCAGACTCTGGAACACATGAGCTCTGATACCCATGAATATAATGAGTGAATTTCACATTCCTATCTTGTAATACCTTCCCAAGAATCTGCTTCCCTTTTATCCCATCCCATGGCCACTTCCATTCCCTATGTGTTTACTGAGGAAGCATTTTGTACAAGAGGTTCCTCATTACATGTAATTTAAGACTATTTATTCCTCAATCCATTTGCTCAGTACACATTAATTGAGCATATGCAGTATGCCTGGTACTGGGAAAACAAAAACAAAACAAAACAATAAACCAATAAACCACCACACTTATCCTGGAAGTCATTTCATTCTATTTGTAAAGGTAAAATAACAATTGTAAAACAGTGTGAAATATCAAGTTACATGCAAAGGAGATAGCAGCTGACTCTATGGATTCACAAGGAATGTGTCATTTGTTTAGGACCTCTGAGAATGTTCTGGAGTTTCCTAGGTGGATCAGGTGAAGAACAGGGATTTATATTAAAGGAGCTGCATTCATGAAAACACCAAAAACATAACACAAGTTCAAATCTGGATTTCATCACTTACAAGTTAGGTAGTCATTTAGCTTATTTTTGAAGGCTCAGTATCTTTATTTATAGAGTAGTTACTTTCTGTCTATTCAGAACATTATATTGTGACAGCTATAGCCTCACGTTTTTTAAATAGTTTGACAATGTTGAGGTTAGGGATGATTACTGGATAGTTGGGTGGCTGTCTAAACAATGTCCTTCATGAGGGGAGGAGACAGTGTACTGTCCAGCATCACAGTGAAGGCTGGGACTGTGAGGACCACAGAGGAAAGAGAGAAAAAGACATTAAAAGGATGATGGGAAAGTGAATCTATATCCCTCCATAGCTCTGCATGGAAGCTGACAGTGGGGCTCTCTTCCCAGTAAGATATATGGCTTCTGAATGACAATGTTTTACTTTGTCATTTGGAGGCTAAACAAGGCTGCAGGAAACAAGAGTCTCATTTTCCTATTGGTGGAAAATGCATATCATTCAATGTGATTGGAGTCTAAATGGAATAATTTGTGGGCAACCCATTGGTCCCTGTGTCCTCTCCTCTTCCACCCATACTTCCCCCTTTTCTTCTTTCCCCACCCCATTCTATGCACCATCATTTCTTTCTGCCCATTTCTGGTATTCAGTCCTTTCCACATAAAAAGGAATAGGTCCATTAGAAAATGATTGCTCTCACTCTCTCCAGCCCATTTCTCTTGATGTCTAGGTTTGTTTGGCATCTGACCCTCTTCAAAGGAAACAACTTTCCTAAAAAAGACATCTATCACATTTAATACAGGTCATTCAGATATTAATCAGATATACAAAAGGAAGTGAATAATGAAGATTTCCTTTTCTTAAGAGTCACATACACAGAGCTAATTAACCTATGTTATGCAGGAGAAGAGCTCTACCTGAAGCCCAGGATTGATTTTTACAATGGCCACTTAGCAATCAAGGATGGCAAGTGAAGAACATTTTATAAGCCCTTGTATTAATGATTTTGGGGGGATGAATGTGTGTGTTGAGGTGAAGCAACATACTCTCATACTTCTTGGTGAGATGGATACATACCTGGATACATGGTGAGATACATACATACTTCTTGGTGAGATGAATTGTATATACTTTTACAAAACCTTAAAAAAAGCTTTAAGTACAGTATGTGCTTACATCATCTAGCACAATGATATAACTGGATGAGGACCTTTCTCAATAGAGTTTATCCATATACCCTGATGAAATGAAAAAAAGATGTTATATATAAACACATATATATGTATATATATATGTGTGTGTGTATATATATATATATATATATATATATATAGGAGGTTATACAAAAAGAAACTAGGGCACCAATGGAAGAGAAGAGTGAATATTACTTAATAGTTGACTTTTATTGCTTTAAGAATTCTCATTCTAGAAGATAGTGACCTACTGCTTTTAATCTCACAATAAGCAGGAAGGAAGAGGTAAGAGGTGAAGATGATAATTTACACTGAACTTTAATAAAGCCTCCTTATTGGTTAATTCCTGTGTCCCAGGTTTTTCAAAGTAGGGTATTTCTTATTGGGTCAATGTGATTTAGGTATCATGTCACAACAAGGTTGTGGTTATAATGGTGAAGGAAGGGTTTGTTCAAGGTAGAGCATTCATATTTATTGAGCACTTATGATGAGTGAATTCCTATACTCTTATCATGATGTACTCTATCTCATTTAGTTAAGAATCCAATAAATTAGGTCATTTTTACATTTATTTCACCAATGAGAATACTGAAAATAAAAATAGCTAAATAACTTGATCAAGGTTACATAGCGATGATATATCAGTCATGATTTAAATACAGATATGTCTGACAATAAATTACGTACTCTACCCGTTTTCGATGATGCCCAATAAATGATTATTGACAGACTTACCTTCATTCAAGGTAGGGGGGTGGACCTTTTGATTTCTCTTAGCCTTTTCTGGAAACTATTATCAGAAATAGTTGACTATAATGACAATAATTCCTGTTATTGTTACAGTAGTAGACATCTTTGTGTTGTCTGATTAGCATCGTCCTCCCGTTCTTTGGTCAATGGAGTTTTTCCCTGATGGGTAATTAAAATCCACATTTTTCTGATGGAGGTAGGAACTCTCACTCTAACTCACCTTCAGTCATAAGATCTGGCACATAAGAATAATCCAGTCTTCTGTCTACATCTATTGATTTTTTTTTTTTTTGTTTGTTTGCCAAGCTGATGTTACCTTGCTGCTGGAGTTATCAGGGAAGATACTCGTTTTCCATTGGGGTTGTTAAGTATGTAGGACGCAATGCTAAGACTACAAATAGGAGCTATTCCCATTAATTGGAGAGAAAAGAGCCTGTCTAAGATACAGAGGAAGAAGAGTCAAGCCCTCGGGGTATTCATTAAAATTCTAGATCCATCCTTTCCTGTTGTGGATTGAGTGGTCATGGATCTCTACAACTCAAGAATTGGGAACATCTTAGGGAAGGGGAGTGAGTGAGGTTGGAGAAGTGGAGAGGCTGCACCTGGAGGCCCTGTGGGGCTACCATGCCACAAAATGAATATATCAAGTTATACCATAAATGCTGTGGTTATTATTTGGATTATAATGAGAAAAAGGGGGAAGAAGGAAGCTTCTGAAGCTCATGAAGTTTCCAAGAAGACAAAAAGAAATGATTGGTATACTGTATACAACTTTGGGTGTTATTACCAAAGACACTGTCATTGAAGTGAACATGACCAAGATGGACCTTGTGATGGCACAGGGGGAAGATTATTTGGGGAAAATAAGCCCAGGTTACCAACAATCCTGATAATTATGGCTGCATAAGTGCATTCTTATTGGTTTGACAGCTGTTTCATACAAGTAAATCCATATAATTATTAAAGACTACACAGTAATCAGGAAAACCACCACTGTTATGTTTCTGAAAACAACCAAACAACCTTACATCAAGAGAATCATATATTCTGTTGCAAAAATCATTTAAATGGCCTGATCTTAAAAGATACTAAATCCAGCAACACCTGAATCCATTTGTTTTTATTCTTTAAAGGAATGTGAATCTATAATGCTTCTCTTTTATCTTTGGTTTATATTATTTGCAAGGAACTAAATTTAAAAATATGGTAATGTTATCTTATTTTGTGTAAATGGCTAACAAATCCTATATCTGTAGTCAATGAAACAGCACTAATCACATCACATAATGGTGGACAAAGTCTGATCTAAACTCTGTGAAGACCTTGGCACATGCCCTTGGTTCCTGGATTATCTCTGGACTGCTCTGGCAATCAATTCTCTGGCCAGGGGATACCTTTAGTCCTTCAGACTCTGTGTAATGCTTCCTGGAACACCAGGAATCTGCCTCAACTGAGTCATCTCTCCTCCTTGTGAGTTCATGGAGGTTGCTTTAAACTCAAGGAGTAATGCCAGATGAGAAAAGAGGTTCTGCTTTATTATCAATTGTACTTGTGTTCATAACTCCCAATAAACTTGGTTGAAGTATAGGACCTAAGCAGATGCTTTCTGCCTTCTAATTCAAATATTAAGTCCAGTCAGTGGCAAGACCACAGTGCCAGTAATGATTAGTAAGAAGTATAGAAGGAGATGATCAGGAGATCAGGCTTTCATCAAGAGTCTAAATACGGGTTGATTTCTTGCACAGTCAGGAAACACTAGGGAAAGACCCAAATGAATGACCTTTTACATTCACTGTTCCTTCTACTAGAAAACATAATCCAATCAATGTCCTAGATACTGTCTAGGGAATCAAATTGGGAGAAAGGAGTAAATCAACCACAGTTTTTGGTACTTGATCATCATCACCATCATCATCTTCCTCCTCCTCCTTCTCATGTATACTGGCAATATATCTTGTAATAGAGGCATCTGACACAAAGATGTACTGCAAAGACAATGCCTGAGAACTGGTTAGCATTATGGGAGTCTCCATACTATTTTCAGAAATCTTCATGTATGTTACTTCTTTATCTGTAGTGAATATGTTTATATTTCCACTTATTTGGGGGCCATGCTCTTCTGGGATATACAGAGAGGGAAAAAGTCTCCATGTTGTGGTCAGTGATCTGCTGAAGAAGAGCACCACATAGTGCATTTTACAAAAAGTCATGTTATAGGATGTGTCTGTCATTGAACCAGAGCCAAGGTCCTGGCAGGAGGGTTTGTGATCATCTTCTTACCCCATAACTCTCAAGCCTAACTGCATGACGATTTTCATCCCTTATACTCTTAATAGTTAAATCAAAAACCTGATTTAGTTGTTGTATGGCCACGTTAAAAGCCTGAATTTGTTGTTGCACATTCTCAGTATGTGAAGTAGAACTTCTACCTCTCACAGAAACAAGAATGTAGCAAACTGCGCTTACACATATTACCAAAAAACCACCCAGAAGCACAGTCTGTAAAGGGATGGCTTGTAAACCACCCATGTATGTATACAATAGTAAAATCACATGCCATACACCAGGCTTCATCAAATTATTTATATTAATGAAACTGGTGGTGATATTTAATGGAAGAAGGCTGCTCAAATTCAAGGCCGGAAGGAAACTGAAAGAACTCAGGCTAGGGATGAAACTGTATAGGCTCATGGTTGAGGCCATATTTGAGTCAAAACACACCCACAAGGGCTGTACGCACAGGGAAAAAAAACAGACTTTTCAGGACTAGAGACAAATATTATACTGCTAGTCCTGCAGAACTAGTGCGCTTATGGTGACCAACGCAAGGAATGTTACTTTGGGCTGGTCAACCGCGGGTGTAACTTGGAAACCACGCTGGGCGCCAAACTGTTGTAGAGCAACCCCGATACAAAACGGGGTGCCTGACTGTGGGTCCTCACCCGCGCGCTTAAAAGGACTTATCAATGCTCTACTGCAGGCACACGTGAAAGGTTAATAAAAGGTTTATTTACAAGGGAAAGGGAAATGAGGAAATGGACAGCTCTGGGAGAAAAGTGGGAGACAAAGTTTTAAATGAGTCCTACCCGATCCGCCGATCAGGAATCCCAAAATGGCGCTCTCAGAGTTGGCCGCCAGCCAGGAGCGGTGAAGCCAGGAGGCGAGCGATCGCGAGCCAGAGAGAGAGCAAGGCCCACGTGTTTGGTTTTTATATCCAACCTGGCTGCCCAACTCCACCCTCAGGTCCCAGCCACCCTCCCTTGGTGGTGATGGGATTTGTCTTTCCCAATGTCCTAATGGCTTTAGTCTGGAGTGGGGGTGGAGTCCACAAAGCCTGTATGAGATTATCTCAGGACATCCTTTCCCCCTAACAAAACTATAATTAAAAATAAAATCAAACCTGTGGATCCACCTAACATCTATTGAATCGGAATCTCTTCTGGTAGGTGGGTAAAGTGGGGGTATTTAAACAACCTGCCCAGGGGATCCTTGTGCCAGTTCACAGAACAGCCCTTGGGTATCCTTTATCTTTTGGCTCCAAGTTGAAAAACACCACTTTGAAATCTCATGAGTCACATAAGAATCTAACCTATATTAAAGGGTGTTTAAAAAAAATATCTTTGCAAACTCTTTCAGCAACTTACTCTTTTGCCCATCAGTTCCATTTTCAAAATGAAACTACCTCATAATTCATAAATCCTGGCATTGTTTGCAGCCCCTATTTATTATCTTTTTGATGTTATTGTTTGTGTTGGTGCTGAGGCCCACCTGGAGAGCAGATCAGGTCTCAGATAGGCCTTTAAACTTCTCTTTGGTTCCTTGTCCTATTTTGGCCCTTGACTCCAAGGTGTCTTTGACTGAGATGTTTTACTTCTATCTAAGATCCATTACTTAAATCTCATCTGTACCTGGTGATTGAAAATGGCATCAAAATGAATCAGATAGTGTTAATTTATGGGCGTGTGGGAAAAGATCATGAAAGGGGACAGTGAGAGTCTAAGAGCCTGAACATGAATTTAAAATGATGATTCCAATAAGTACCTTTTTTTCCCCCTTTTGCATTCTCCTGGTAGATAATCTGCTAGGCATAATCCTCTTAACTGCTTGTATTCTATCAGCATTTAATCTGATCTACTTCTCTGAAAATCCTTCCTATGATTTGCTAGCTTCCTCCTATTTTTGAGAACCGTTAGACGCAGGAAAATCTATCCTGTTTCTCTATTTTCACACAGATTTGGGTTCTTGCAGTGGTGAGAAAATGGGGGGGGACTCTTTGCACAGGCTAGGAGTGGTGTGAAAAGTCTGAGGGTCGTGTTTCCAGTTGTCAAAGTATGGTAGGGAGAGACCTAAGCAAGATTTTCCCTGTCTCCATGCTGGACTTGTACACCGTTGAGCAGACTGAGAG